TGAACAGAAGAAAAATATGAATTTATAGTGATGAGTGTGACTTAGATATAGGCTGGTCTGTGTAGTTGTCTTTGTATGGCCACTTGGTTGAGATACTTAAGAAGATCCAGTGCTTAGCATGGGATCTGGAACATAACAGGAGCTCTGTAAATGTAACTCACTTTTCCAACGCCTTCATTTATTCAATGTACATTTATAGAGAGCAGCAAACTTAGTGCCTCATATGTTTTGGATAGCATAAACTACATTATGCTGCAATAATGATACCCCCACCCCATTCCAAATCTCAGTTGTTTAAACACAGCACTAGTATCTCCTCTCACCTTCTTAATCCTCTGCATGTTTAGGGCAACTCTCCAAGTGGCAATCTAGATTACTTAATTCTCTTAGCCTGATTATCTTGACACAAATTCTCTGCAAGGTTCACCACAGGCAGGAAAAGTGCTGTTCAGAACTGCTGTCAGATGTGTGTCTAAAAGTGACATGTGTCAGTCAGTTTATAATCCACTAGCCAGAACTAGTCCTCATCCCACTGTGAGGGGTGAATATAGAGTCTTTTGTGCTTAGAAATGGATAACTGGATGTTGACTAACACAAGTCACATCTTCCACTACTCAGCTAAGCATTGGATACTCAGTAGTGAACAAAGCAGGTTATCACTTATCCTTCCCCTATAGAGCTTCAGTTCACAGTGTTGTGATCTGGGAACACTGAAATCTATGAAGACCCAGGTTTCTACACAAGACAGGCAAGGGACTAGATCAATGAAATTGCATTCAATATGTGTAGAGTTGTGTGAGAAAATAGGAAAGGGTAACAGTTTAGTATAAGTGACAAGTATGGAGATCTTAGAAATCCTCAATAAATATTTACTGAATGAATGTTAAGTGTGGAATAAGAAGAAATTTAGCTTTCAGAAATGAAATGGGAAAGGCAACAGAGAGACAGATATAGGAAGAAAAAACACATGGAAGCAGTTTATGCTTTTCAAATGTTCTGAATAATATTTGGGAATAAAAGCTGTTCTTGCTGTATCTACTGCTTCCAGTAAGCCTGAAATATTTCTGTGCTGGTCTCTTCTGCCATAGTGGGGGAGCAGAGGAGCAAATTCCCAGCTAGACTATTTCATTCCTACCTGGTCAAGAGTATGGAAAACGTTGGGAAGCCTGGACCCTTTCTCATTCACTGGAATGTTTTGCAATAAAGCAAGTTTGCTTGATTGGCAGTTGTCAAATGTAGAGGGGTCACAAGAAAGGGGAAATAACACTGCTATGAATACTGAAAATGTTACAGAGTTAAACAAAAAGTCAAGGAACACAGTATTAAGATAGGATATTAGAAAGGGGTAGTTTACAAACCTTATAAATGATTCACATGAAAATGTAAATGTAAAGAAAAGAGAAAACAAGTGGAAAAAAGATAACTCCTTTTATAATTTTAGTATGTATAATCCCAAGCTTTTTTTCCGGGCACACACATCCATTTGTCTTACAAAAACAGATCATATGATACATGCTTGTTGTGTCATCTCTCTCTTACTTGAAAGTATTTCTTGAATTTTTTCCTTATTAAGAAATACATTTCTGAAATCTTTAATGTCTGGTAGATATTGCATCATATATGTATGTCAAAATATATTTATCCTATTAGATTGTTTAAAGACAGTTGCTATTATAAACAATGCTCTTATGAACATACTGTAACTGAATTTCTGTGCACATATTTTCTAGGCTAACTTTTCAAAGGAATTATTAGGACAAAAGATAAGGTTTATAATGAACATTACCAATATGGTCTCTAAAAAATTGTTTTAATTTATATTCCTGCCAACAGTAGATGAGAACAGTAATGTTTAGGAGTCCATAAATCTGCAAGATTGATTATAGACATTTGGGTGTATCATTAAATGTATATTTAATCTTAATAGGAAGAGATGTCCAGAATATTATCTTTAAATCCCCCATTTTATATTTAATGCTTTGTGCTAAAATCACATGCATAAAAGTTTCACGTTTATATATCTTTCAAAAGGAATTTAAGACAAATTTACATATTCTGCTAAATGGGCTCAATAATGTATCATGGGCACTAGGTTAAGATTCATGGATGATCATTTGGATGTCTAAAATCAGTTCCTTGCTTGACAAAATGCTCTACCGTCAAATATCATCATCCATGCCTTGTCTATATGGCTGTGGCTAATACCTGTGCATATCTCTAATGGCTGAATGTCAGGCAATTTCCTGTTTCTCTGAGAGAAGAAAATTCAGAAACATTTTTCAGCTAAGTTGATTAAACTTTGAGCAGCATAGATGCAGTAATTGAGTAAATTGAGTATGTACTTATAATATGTAATCTACTATTTACATAGAAATAGTATGATAAAGCACATATTATGAGGAATAATTTTAGAAATATTGCTCTTTTCCCACCCCTATATTTTAGGAAGCAGTTCTGATCCAACTCCTCTTCTATGCATTCTTGACAATAGAGTGGTACCATCTTTTCAAACAACCAGCCTCTTCTACCACTTGCCATCTGATCTTCAGTTCAAGTGGTTTAGGATGCAGGATTTTGTAAAACTGGATATGATACTATCACTATAAGTCTTTTCCACAGTTATGAAAACCTACTTACTACTCCTGATCTCTGGTAACCACTTTTTTTTAGTGGTATTTAAAATACTTGTTTTCAACAACATCCAGCACTTAGAATAGTTGGGTCTTGTCTCCCAAATGATTACTATTTCAGTATTTATTTCCTTTGCGTCCATTTTTTATCAGTCCATCAAGTTAAGAATTGTTAGAACCATCTGAAACTCTCAAAAGTTAATGATGTTTCAGGCCAACACAATTTCTCCCAAATGTTATTTTGTTTAAAATAAAATAATAGAGAGTACCTGATATTATGAGAGACTTTATAGACTTTAGTATAAAATGCTTTGTTTTCTGAGTAATAACTTTGAAGAAGAAAAGTCATTACATTCAGCCATATATTATGGTTTAAATAAAAGAGAAGGAATTCACACAGGTTTCTTTTGTGTTAATATGCAAAGTAACTATTGAATATGAAAGCTTTTATCCACCTATAAGAAACATTGAAAGAATATGGTAGGGTTATAATGCATTTATCTTATATAAAAGCATTGAAAATAGTTCATAAAGTCTGCTGTTTGGAAAATACTCACGTTGGAGTCTTTTTTAACAACTATAGCCTCTACTCTACACAATTAAACCTCCCAACCTCAAGTCACATCTACTTTCATGTACACACACACACACACACACACATACACACACACAGAGAAAGAGAGAGAGAGAGAGAGAGAGCGCAGGAAATTCTTAGAATAAATGGTCTCTTGGGGATCCATAGCCAAAATTTTCAGAACTCAAAATGAAAAATTTAGAGAACTTGGTGGTTAAATTTCCCTATCGTGTTACTCTCTAAGATATATTGTTTCCATTCTTTTCATCCAAGTATTTCCAAGAGAATTAGACTCAGAGAGCATTTTACAGATAAGGTGGCAGCTATTTGATTGATATGGTTGAAGATAGCATATGGTGTATTCTTCCCTCTCAAACTGTTTTGAGTCTTTGTTCTTGCCCATAGCAGCAATATACACGAGAACCATCCAAGAACTTCCCAGTGGTACATGGATGCAATACATGTCATCTTAAATACCAGTGAACATTTTGCCATTGCATTCTTTATTATTTCAAGTAAATCAAACCAAGAGACACGGAGCTTAAAATAAGTTGTTATAGAACTCTAACTCTATAAGCTCTTACAATTTCATAAGATTATAAATACCATTTTAAAATGTTAATTAGAAGATGCATTTGTTTTAATTCATGATACTGAAAATATTGACTGAATTGTGAATTAACACATTTAGGGGTGCAGATGTCATTTTTCATGAAATTTCCTGAATGATGCAATTTTTATACTTCATATTGCAGTTTGATCAATTTACAGATTTTATTTTACATAATTAGTTGGTAAATGAGAAATTCTATTGCTGATATAACTATTTTTCTGTAATAGAAAGAAGCTAAAATTTCTGAATTATAAATAAAAAATATTTTGAAGACATCTGGTCTACATCTGTCTGAAAAAAGATAACTTAAAACATTGTAATTAAATGCAAGAAATACTGAAATATTCACACCTTAGGATGTTAAAAAACCTCATTCCATTTTAATGATTTGTTGAATTGGTGATTTTTTTAAATTTCAATGTCCTTTAGCCTCTCTTTTTCTCCTTAGACTTACAAACTAAAAAACAAAAATTTTTCCATGTTTTTCAAAGCCTCTGCTAAATGAAAGTGCTATCTTTATTGCTCTTTTATATGTTGAATAAAGTCCACTGTTCAGTTAATACTCAGCAGACATAGATGCAGACCTGTCTGTCTCCTTTTGATGTATTTATAATTCCTCATTCAATTATTGAACATGAGAGATTAGTGAAGGGGTCTATAATCTTCCTCCCTAAGTCGTGTATTTACTTATTGTAGGCCCAAAAGGACTCAGTAAATGGGGAAAAGAAGGCATTCGGACCTATGAAAATGAAAACCATTTTTGCTACATTCTCATGATCAGCAGACAATCATTCTTTGAAGACTAGTCTTTTCTTTGATAAAAAAAAAAATCCTGCATTACGTGGAAAATTATCCACTTTGGGAGAAAGAATAATACTGTGTACTTGCTGCAGCCTAACCTTAAAATGTAAAAAACAAGAAAGAGTTCTCTAACAAAAGACTGCCAACCCTTAAAACTTCAATGTGACTGGGTTTGCTCCTAAGAGATAAGTCTGTAGACGTGAAGATACTCAGTGCTGATGCTACAGTGGAAGGTTTAGGGAGAAATTCTCTTTTTGAATGCCAGAGGCTCCCCTCACCAGCAAAAAACCCCAAAAAGAATTGGTACTGTGTGAAGTGAAACAACTTTTCCTCAACACATGCCCTAAGGTAACACAAGCTGTATTTTGTGGTTTATTTCCAGGGAGCATGACAAAGATCCAGAGACTTGTTTTAGGGTATTAATGCATCTGAAGAATTTACAACTCAATTTTCACATCTCTATTCTTGGAGAAAGCTTTACAGATGTACCAGGTACCTCTTTTGAATTTTCTAATATGTTTTTTATAGATAACATAAGCCATACAAATTAAGTATTAATTTCCATGTTTTCCTTTGTTAGAATAATCAAGATGAGCACTGTTAACCAAGATTATACGACAGCATTAAAGTCTGATTCAATTAAAAAAATACTTGAGTAAGCATTCTTTGATTTAAGTTGAGAACGTGAAGTCATCTCTTTTATCAAATATAGTTTATGTGATGCATCTTGATGTAAATAAAATATATAGCTGTAGGCATCTTAACACTTAAGGAAAGTGGGAGTTTGTAATTGGATATACAGCCTCTCACCTCTGGGGTCACTAGTTTGAATCCTTCTAACATTGGTAATGGCTAAAATACATTACCATCTGTTAGGTGGCCTGTTTAAACATTTTGGCATCTAACTTGTAATGTGGAGTGGACTGCAGTGCATATCATGGTTTGTCATAGGTCCGTGCCTTTTTATTGAACTTGAGAAAGATAAGAATTAGAAGCTGTTAGCAGCAGGTCCTCTTATTCTTTATGCCATTTCCTTCACCCTGCATCCGCACTAGTCATATTGTGTCCATAAAATGAGCATTCTGATACCTCTCATGAGCACATGTGTTTCTGTTTTTAAGGCTTTGGGTGTTGAGCATTATTTGAAAACCAAATATTCAGTCAGCAAAAATTCAGAAGTAGCCCCTGTTCAGAAATGACCCTTGTCATAATGCATTTAGCATTAAAGGACCACCTGTAGTTTGCTTACACCCAGAAAGTACTTCTTGATTCTGGTTAATGCTAAGAACTGACCCCAACCTGTACTAAGGAGCCTCATTCCTGTGGCTTATCTTCTGCCTTCTGCAACTTAAGGACATGTTCCCCTAGGGCACTAAGCTTCTCTCGACCCCATTTTCCAATTCGCCTCCATTTTATTCTTCTTATCTCAACTCTGGGTCATTTTCAATTTTTTTCTTGTACCTATAAAGGTTTTTTAATTTTTTATTATATTTTGAATTCATATACGTTAATAACACATGGGGGTTTCATTGTGGTAATACATGTGTACTGTGTAGTTTGAACAAGTTCATCCTTCCATTATATTCCTATTCCCACCTTTCTCCTCCCCTATTTTTGCACAGTATTTGTGTAAAATAATAAGTGTATATCTCTTCAAACATATACATGTGGTGTATTTTGGTCCTTCTCCCCCTCAGTATCCCATCCTTTCCCCTCTACCTCAGACCATGCCCCTTTTATATTCATGTCCCATTGTTGTCATCATCATCATTTTAGGTCTAGGTTCTACAAATGAGTGAGACCGTGCAGTATTTTTGAGCTTGGCTTCACTCTCAACATGATGATCTTTAGTTCCATCCATTTTCCAGCAAATGACATAATTCCATTTTTCTTTATGTCTGAGTAATATTCCATGGTATACATATGTATATATACCATATTTTCTTTATCCATTCATCAGTTGTTGGCTCCTTGGCTGATTTCACACTGTATGTGTTGTGCACAGAGCTGCAATAGCATAGTTGTATAGTATCTCTCTTGTATATTGATTTACAGTCCTTCAGATGTATGCCAAAGAGTGGGATGGCAAGGTCATAAGTTAGGTCTTTTTTTAATATTAAATTTGTTGCACCAAATTACATTCCCACCAACAATGTACGAGGGTTCCTTTTTCCCATATCCTTGCCAATATTTATTGTTGTTTTCTTAATGATTGACAATCTGACTAGTGCAAAATGGAACCTTACTATAGTTTTGATTTACATTTCCTTTATGACTAAGAATGTCGAACATTTCTTCATGTATTCATTAGCCATTTGAATTTCTTTTTCTGAGAACTGTGGTCAATTCATTTGCCCATTTATTAATTGGATTATTTGTTCTTGTTCTGTTTAGTTTTTTGAGGTCTTTGTATAATTCTAGATATTAATCCTTTATCTGTTGAAGAGCTACTGAAGATACTCTCCCATTCTTCAGGTTGTCTCTTGATTTTGGTAACTGTTTCTTTTAATATACAGAAACTTTTTCATTTGATGCAGTCCTGTTAATTCTTTCTCTTGTTTCCTTGGCAGTTGGTGTCCTATTCAGGCAATAATTACCTAAGCCTCTATCTTTTAGAATTTTCCCAGTTTTCTCCTGTAGTTGTGTCAAAGTCTCAGGTCTTGCCTTAAGATCTTTGATCCATTTGAATTGTTTTTGTAAAGGGTGAGAGAAAAGAGTTCTACTTTTAATCTTTTGCATGTAGATAACCAGTTTTCCCAGCATCATTTGTTGAAGAGGTGAAGAGGCTGTATTTTCTCCAATTTGTTTTTGTCTCCTTTGTCAAAGATCAGATGGCTGTTGCTGTGTGGTTTCATTTCCAGGTCTTCTATCCTGTTCCATTGGTCTTTATATCTGGTTGAGTACCTGTACCTTGCTGTTCTGTTACTATGGCTCGGTGGTATAATTTCAAGTAACTCTGGGACATTTTCATAAAGTTTTATTATGGTGTCTCAGCATTGTATGCTTTTTTCCTGATGCTGTTTACCTCAGTTTCAAATTATTGAACATGTGTAAATTTTTGTATCTCACTACCTATACACTTGCACACACGTACACTATCATGTAGGTTCTGTGAGGTTCAAAGACTGTATCTGTCTTGTTTAATACAATAGCCCAAAACCCAGTACGGTACTGACACAGTGCAGGAGCTATGAATATTTATTAGATAAATATGTAAAGATAATGTAAACTCCCTTCCCTAAATGAATCCCTAATTTTGTTGAAGAGGGAACATTCATGCATAAGCACAGAAAACAAAGAGTGAAACATAAGATAATGTAATTATATTGTAGTGCTGACACCTGGAGCTTAGAGGGTTAATTGACAAGATAGTACACGAAGGCTGGGCACCTGTGGCTTACGCCTGTAATCCTTGCTACTCAGGCAGAGATCAGAAGGATCACGGTTTGAAGCCCGCCCAAGCACCCTCTACAAAAACAGGGCTGGTGGAGTGGCTCAAGGTGAGGACCCTGAGTTCAAGCCCCAGTTCTGAGAGAAAAAAAAAAAAAAGATAGTACATGAGTAGCCAAAGCTATTCAAATAACCAGAAAATAAATGATTAAGTTGTTCAAAAAGAAGAAACAAAGTAGTCAAAATACATTGAAGCAAACATGTTGGATACTGTGTTTAAATAAGAGAATGATTTCAATAATTAATGCTGAGAGGTCACTAATCTAAGCAAAATAGGAAATTCTGCATAGCAACCTTGGTCAGTTAATACTATCTTACACAGGCAGGGTAGGGCCAAAATAGGGGGGACCTTGATCACCATAGTAGATTAGGTAAAAAGGAATATGAAGCCTATGTTGGAACAAGGAAGAAAGATGCAACTTGTATTTTATGAAGCTTTATCTTAAAATAATACTAAGGCAAATGTGAGGTGGTGGCAGAGAAATTAGAGAGAGGGATATTTGAGAGACAAGGAAAACACAGAAAAGAATTTGATAGGTGGAAGCTGTTGAGAAAGAAGGGGAGAAAAAATATTTAGCCCCCTGGGATGCTATGGAGTACATTGTCTTTGTACATGCTCCTCTCCTCACACTCTCACCTGCCTGCCTTCAGCCTCAGCCACAGCTCCATCAGTCACTTCAAATGTGCTCTTCCTCATCACCACACTTCATCTTGCGCATCAGAGGAGCTCAGGTGTTGAAAGGGTGAATGAGCCTGGTAGCAATCCAGATTGCGCCTTTAGAAGGCCACTTAGCTAATCTTTACTCCAAAGGTTTTCTAACAAGCCATTCTGTGTAACTTCGGCCCTTCTTATCACTCCTCTGGTCTATTGAGCAAATACTTTTATTGCACTTACTGTATTCCAGACATTCAACTCTTCATAAAAATCCTGTTCAGTATTATTACCTCCAGTTTTACCCCTGCAGGGAACCTGAGACACAGAGAAATTAAATCAGGTCACACAACTAGATAATGCTTTAACCACTGTGCAATGCTGCTTTCTCTTCTCCTTGTTTTCTGACCCAACTGCTTATCTAACTTTAAGCATTAGTTGCTTTTTTGTTGTTATTGTTGTTCTTCTTTTCCCAACTTACCATCCCACAGTCTGAATTGCTTACCTAGCCCTTCCACAAACAAGATTACCTAGCAGGAAACAAGTTTTACTGCTCTTTTTAATGAAGCATTAAATTTCTTTTGCAAATTCTAAAGCTATAGTGTAGCATCTTTGTAGAATTTCCATACTATTGGTTATTTTCAACTAAAAATTATGTTATACGGCCTTTATAATATTTTTCCTAGAAAGTATACTAGAGTTAAGATGATTAGTTTTAGTTTATAGCTCTACAGCTTACTGTTCTTCAGTATCTTTCCTTCATTTTATAAAGAACAGAGAGACCAGGGAGAATTAATAACTTTGCTAAGTCATCACAGCTAGGTCTGGTGGACAATATAGGCAGTGGGTAATGGCAAGATTAATAGCAGAACCTAGGAGTCAACTTTCTAACCCCTGATTACTGCTATATTTGTTCAACATTTTTTTTAAAAAATATATCATTGTGCCAGGAACTGTGCTTGACACGTAGGATGAAATAATGAATAAAGAAGGTATGTTCTGTGATATTTGGAATAGAACATGGTCCAGTGCTTTATACATCACTTTCTAGAACATCCCTTAAACAAGTTAGAACTAACATTTCTTGAGCACTTAGCATTTGCCAGACAGTGTCCTAAGCCCTTGCTGCATTGCCTTATTTAGTTTTACAGTCGTGTGAATTAGGCATTGTGGGAATTACTATTTTACAGCTAAGAAGAGTGAAGCACGTAGAAACTACATAGTCATGCAGTTAGGAAGCCAGACAAAATATAAACCTTGTTCATATATTTCCAAGCAAAGGCACACCTATGCTCTACATGGAAGTCCAAAAAATAACTATTTTATAAGTAAGAAAGCAGAAGGAATAGTAGTAGAAAATTTCTGGCCAATCACATAAAACATTTCCATT